ATTAATGGGAACCCTAAATGTTTGAGCACCCTCTATGAAACGTCAAGCTACCCCACAGCACCCCCAAAATACATCTCTGGCGCCACCACTGAGCCTGACTATTTCTGTTGGGGGGGCCCGACTTCTTTTTTTCTCCAAAGGGGGGGCCTGACAGAAAAAGTTTGAGAACCACTGCACTAAGGGCATATTTTGGTTTCTCTCTAAAGGTGTGGCGGCATCTCACACCATGGCACAGACTGATAGTGGAAGAATGGCAAACTATAGGTCTAAAATCAACAGTGTGGGAGGTCAAACTGGAATTGAGCCAGCTCTCATCGCTGCCATCATCTCCAGAGAGTCCAGGGCTGGAAATGCATTACAGAATGGCTGGGGAGACAATGGTAACGCCTGGGGACTGATGCAGGTTGTTAGAACTTCTTCTGTTTTTTAATCGCATCGTCTTAGTAGAGCTTCACATTTCAATACAAATAAAAACGTTTCCATTTCTTTAGGTTGATGTGAATCCAAATGGAGGTGGACACACTGCACGTGGTAGTTGGGACAGTGCGGAGCACCTCAGCCAAGCCACGGGAATATTGGTTTATTTTATCGATCGGATCAGTAAGAAATTTCCGAGCTGGAGCAGCGAGCAGAAGCTGAAAGGTTGGTTTCACTGGATCAGAAATTCTCGTCACAATTTTCTGCTGTGTTTCTCATTTGTGTTTGTCTTTACAGGAGGGATCGCAGCCTACAATATGGGTGATGGAAATGTCCATTCCTACGATAGCGTGGATGCCAACACAACTGGTGGAGACTACTCCAACGATGTTGTTGCCAGAGCTCAGTGGTATAAAAACAATGGCTTTTAAACACGGAAGCTGCCAACGAATAGAAATTCTCCTGTTTTACTTGCATCATGTTATTAAAGACTCACAATAACAATGCAAGAAATACTGTAGGTTTATTACAGAGATGTTACAGGGGTCACAAACATTTATAAATCATAGTTTTCTTACTCCTGATGCCAAAACTAGAATTACAATTGTTTGATGGAGGAGGAAATAAAGAAGAAGAGAAACTGTGATTACATTTTCATTGATTTTGAATATCATATAAACTCCATTTAAGATGACACAAAAAATGGTTTAAAAGCAATTTATTTCATTAAAATCTGAATGAAAAAGCATGTTGGACATCAAGTTAAATCCTTAACACATATATAATGTACCTGCACATGTAAAAAATAAAGCATTATAATCATATTCTCTGATTGTTTCTGACTTTTACTGCAAACTCCTCCCACTACTTCTAATTGCTGTTTCATCCAGGTGAGTCTCCCTCTGGTTTGATGCGTCTAAAATAAATCACATAAAGTTCTGGTGAGTTATTTCTCAGGAAGTTGTTTTGGGTTTGTTTTCATAAATACAGCTGAGTGAGAGCTTGCTGACCTTCACACCAGGTCCTCCTGCTCCTCTGGTTCTTCTGTCTGTTCTGCAGAGACCATGTTCAGGTCTGAGACGTTCTCATACACAGAACAAGGGTCTAACTGATGGAGAGACAACGAGAGGAGAGTCAGAGGCCAAACTGTTTTTTCAAACTGTTTCCTTAAATTGCTTTCTGCTACAACATCTAGTTGCACAATCTTTAAAAGGTAAATACACAATGGTGCATCTATTAAGAAAGGTGTTACTCATCAAGTTACATTTCAATCCTCTTTATGACCATAAACATTAAGGACAGAATAAGTGCACAAGTCTCTCTCCCACCTCCCAAGTCTCTATGGGTTCATTCAGTTCAGTGTTGAAGCTCACAGCTTTCTCCTTCCTGAATTAAAACCAAATACAAACCATCAAAACATTTAATCGAAAGACTCTAAAAGTAAGTAAATATTTTAAGGCTTTTTTCTCACCTCATCAAGAGACAGAAAATAAGAAGAAGAATCAGCATCACAACCATCAGAGTCAACCTGGTGATGTTCATGATCATTATGGATTTATCTAGACATGGAGAGAAAGAGTTGTGAGATACTGTTGGGGTTTCACCAACTAATCGACTAGTCGACTACCTTTACCACTAGTCGGCGCTGTAGGCCCTAGTCGACTAGTCGTGAAAAAAATTGAGGTAAACGAGGTGCTGCAAAATGCTACAAAACACGTCCGACATTCTTATGTATGGCAGTACTTCAACGAAGATGTAACCAACTCCACAGTGAAGTGTCAGTTGTGTACAGCTGTACTGAAGTACAATACAAATGCATCTGCTATGCGCAACCATCTAAAGATGAAACACCCGCTGCCGACAGCTAGCACTAGCAGTAATGCTAGCACCAGTGAGCAACGGACCGGCGTCAGCACTGAACTGAGGCAAACGAACAGCAAGAAAACACGGGTCAACAGTGATGCGGATGATGAGCTACGGGATTACTGCCAGCGGACACCGCATATCCCCACAATGGATAATCCACTGGAGTGGTGGGCAGAAAACGTGCACCGCTTCCCCCGCTTTCGAGGAGCTACCTGGCTATTCCAGCCACAAGCACCCCGAGTGAGAGGGTTTTTTCCCTGGCAGGCAACACTGTCACCCGAAAGCGGTCAAGCCTCCTTCCCTCACATGTCGATGCGTTGGTGTTCAAACCAAAAATATGGAAAGGTGGACGTTATCGTGGAGGACAGCGAATAAAGTGTTGCGCACTGCACTGGATTTACGTGGCATTTATGTAAACAAGAGTTTTTTGCTGTCGATTTTGGTGAGTCCAGTGTTTGTTATTTACTCAGCCATGCAGTGTTTAATGTTACTGTGTGAGTTCCAATAGAAAATACAGTTGTAAACCTCTCTTTGTGTGTCTTTATTATGACGTAACGACTAGTCGACTAGTCGACTACTATTTTGAAAAACTAGTCGACTAGTAAATATTGGTAGTTGTGAAACCCCTACGACACAGCCATATCAAGGAAACCAGTGGCCGTAAAAATCCTCAGGATCTAATGCTGCCTGGAAACAATTATGGCGAAATGTATTTTTCGGTCTTCCCTCTAAACCACCGGTGTCCAGAGTTCCTCTTGCATCACACAATACTTTCCGTTGGTGGAATTTAAGCATGGGACTACACACTGCTTGGATTATACTAAAACATTATCTTGGATAGCAAAAGTATGACAAGTCATGAACTAGAGAGGCAGCACGAGAAGAGTAAGTGCACTAACTTGCTTGACAGCAGAAACAGTTTTTTTTCTCCTCTGAATTTTACAATCAAGTTATTTCAGCTTTTGAGATAATGTTAAGGTGGTATCTGCAGGGTTGCCAAGTACCTCAAACCTTATATAGCTGTATCCAGGGTTTCCTCTGTTGCTTAATTGTGCCCAATAGGAGGAGTGGTATGAGTCATCTGCCCACTTTTATTACCTTCCTGTTTTCCACCTTTTCATTCTGCCAGTCCCCAGTGTTTATCTCTTCACCTTATGTCTCAGTGATGTCCTCACCTCACCCTACATCTTCTCTGTCCTCAAGTTATTTCCTCCCATCTTATACATTTGCTCCAACCTCACCATTCCTTATTCCCTGGTGTCCTTCACTCCTGTGTTCTGCCTCTTTCGGCCCTACTTGTTTCTGAATTAATCACAGCATCTCCATCTCGCCACGGGGGAAATCCCCGACGCTACTCCTCACTTCATCTGGAATTAATGCAGGGGGAGGGTATGAGATCCTGAGAATGGATAGTCAGGTCACTTGGAGAAGATACAGAGAGGCAGAAGTAAATGTATTCCTTACATTAGATATTTACAACCAGGTTGAATGATGCTGAGTAAAAAAAAGCTGAAGCTGTTTGCTTTTTGTATATTGGGATTTCACTTTGAATTAGAGGTATTAAGATGGAAAGAAGACAGATGCGTAGGTAATGAGTTCAAGGTGTGAAAGAAGGTCTGTCAGATTAAAAGAAAGGAAGATGAATGTTATTAAAAAGGATGGTCGAGATTAATGTAGAAAAATAATGCAAAAGAAACTTTTTTGGCAAGCAGCCCTTACTTTTTTTTAGGTATTATAGCTATGATGTTTTTAATTCTGATCCTTAAAAAAAGGAGACCAAGAGAGAGAAACAGTGAAGCAGAGAAAAAGACGAAGACAAGGGTAGTCTGCTTCCTTTGGTCAGGACTGTTATATAAGAATGACATATCTCTGCAAAGTTGATTTGGACAGACAAGTTTCAATCAAAGTGGTTTTAACTGCTAAAAGGAATTTTTCTATGAAATCTGCTTCATCATGCCTAATTTTTTGTTGTGTTGACTGTCCCATGTTCATGACACATGGTGGCAAGCTGTATCATGGGCCAAGGAAAGGCAGTTAAATCTTGGTGTTTAAGCTATTTTACACATTCTTTTTAAACTATTTATTTTTTCAGACCGTGTATTTTTCGGGAAACGGTCTGAGATGTGTCTTTTGAAGAACACGTTCCATGTTTTGACAAATATGCTTTCTGTACAGTGAATATGAAGTGACTGTTGGCAGTGAGCTGAGCCTAGGACAGCTAGCCTTTCTCTGTCCAGAAGGCCACCATCCACCATACAGCACCAATGTCCATTTTTTTTAAGGGAAAAGTGTTATTGTTGACTAGAATGTAATGGCTGGAATTAGTTGCGAGGTAACCAGCAGAGATTTGACGAAGTTAATAGTTCCACAGTTTTTTTTACGGATTAACAAGGTAACGTATAAAGTATTAGTTAGTGAGCATTCGAGGTGCTATCGTAGCATAGGCTCAATGTATTTCCTAAAATTAAAATACGTCTTTGATTCCAAATAACTCATCAAGGATTAACATGACTGTACAGTCTGGCTGACTATAAAGCTAATATCCTGGGGTCAAACAAAGACAGGAACAGTACAGAATGCCAATAAGAAAGCATAGACCTCTGCCAAAAGGGTTGGTTCAGTTTATTTGGACACCACATGAATGAAGCACAAATGCTTGCAATCTCGCAATATTAACAAACAATCCACTCCAAAATGTTGTTGGTTCACATTGACCCACCCTCCAACAATGAAATGTGAGCCAGTAGCTGTTCTGTAATTCCAGAAAAGCAAACAGTCTAACTGAGCCCTAAACATAATGTAGGAGTTAACTACGGTAGGGCTGAACGATTAACCGATTTAAAATCGAAATCACGATTTCAAATGAAGCGATTATCAAACCCTGCGATTTCTTTTTACATTTCTTCTTTTTTTTTTAACCTTTTTTTTTTCTTCTAGTGTGTCAGTCATCCACACCAATCAGAAGTGCTGTGCTCCACATGTACCAGCCATGGTTAACCAATCAGAAGTGGCCCATGATAGAAGGTGACCTGCCAAATATCTTTGAAAGTGCCTGCCCTTTCCAAATGGCTTCCAATGGAGCTTTCCTAGATGGTTTGGTGAAACAAACCATCTGAGTCAGGTTATTAATGTTTTACATCTATTACAGGGTGAATCTTAAACTGAAGCTTTACTTTAAAGCAACCCAACGGAAGTTTCATGTAACTTTAGTTATTTAATTCTTAATCGAATCGCAATCGCAATGTTTGTCAGAAAAATCGCAATTAGATTTTTTCCCAAAATCGTGCAGCCCTAAACTACGGTTCATTAGGATTCTGCTGATGCTGCAGACTGTGCTGTTTTGTTGCAGGCTGTAGCTGGAGGGCCTCGCTTGTTTGCAGCTGGAGAACTGAGCATGACCCAAATCAGATACACAGGATAAATAATAAATGCATAGACAACCAACTAGCCATCCTCAGAGGCAGCCATCCAACTTTTGTGCCTGTCAACTCTGTCAGCCAGTTAGCCGCCAAATCAAAAAGCAAGCCTGTTTGTCAGAAATATAGCCAGTCAGCCTTGAATTCAGCCCGCCAATGACACAGCTTTCAACAATGTATCAAGCCAACCAGCCACACTGCAGTCATGTCCCCACTTGTTTCCCTGAGTCCCACCGTGACCCCTATATCGTTGTGTCTCCAGTTCCTCATCTCCCTCCTCCCTTGTTTGCATTGTTCCCCTATGACCCCCCCTCCTCAACCACCAACCCAGCTATCTGTTCTCTTCCCTTCTTCGTCTCCCTCATGTGTAAAAAGGGCAGACCTGTCAGAATAGTTTAGCTACGATGCGTTATTTCCTCTGAGGCATGGACAGGGTCAACTGACCCCAACTGTGTATTTACTGTCGGGAAGGAGAAAGGGGGAATTCATAGCAGAAAGACCTTACTGTGGCTGATTGTTTGACAATTCTGATATTTATTTAT